ACAATCTATTGTAGGGATCACCACAGTCTTGCTCAGTTTACATAACTGCCTACTTATTTCGTATTAGTAAGCATGTTTCTTTTACTACTTTGGCGTCGGCTGTGTTACTCACCACAATATCCCAAAACTAAATCTAAACCTACTTTTAACTCTACCCATAACAGTAGACTGAAAGCTGACCGTAGCCTCAACTCCGCACCTAAACCTAAAAGTTAGTCTAATCTGAACACCGTCCCTAACTCTTACCTTAATGGTAGCCCGGATCTCTCCGAACTTCATCGGTATACCCCGGAAATAAGGGAGTTCCTATCCTCATGTCCTGCCGAACTTCACTCCTCGTGATAAGAAGATATTTACAACCTGCCTTACCATTCATCCGAATTGTCACGCGATCAAGATCATTAATTTCCAATAGTGGAGAATATGCGAGTTCCAGGAGACAGTTCAGAAGAAGAGGATGCGACCACTGGAACAAGAGTTTTATTTTCCTGACGTTTCCGATTCCGCCGGGAATCCTTAATCATAGGTAATGGTAGCATAGTCATAGTCATGCGCAGATAGGGATTAGCAGACCTTGCAGTTAACAAGCGGTATGTAAAAGAATAAGATGTTGAGTTCTTTCGGTTTTAAGACCCTTCCGAAAACATTCTGCTTAGTGCAAAGGAGTAGTTGAGTACGACAATCCAAAATCTGGGAACTGCGAATGTATTAGCAGGGGAGCTGACATTCTGATCTTCTGCATTACTTTTAAACTCCTCTTTCGGATTTCACGGGAGAGAATGAAAAAAGGCCATCTGAGAGTGAGAAAAAGCGCTATTTTACAAGTTCATTTAGCATAGACTACACCCGTATAAACCTCCTGCATAATTCAGTGATTTCTGAAATTCCGCCCTCACTTTCACGAGTTTTAAGGATTCTGAACCCTTTAAAGTATACAAAATGTTGGGTCCTTTCGGTGCTGAAAGCCATTCCTGAAATAGTTTGCTTATTGCAAAGGAGTACGTGAGTGCGACCACCCAAAATCTACGGATTGTGAATGCCTTAACACCGACTGGGACGTCACAGAAGTAACATATTTCATAAGCTCGCATGGGGCATGCCGGTCACTGACTAATAAATATAAATGAAATTTTCCGGTGCAATCGTAAACATATCATTTTGTGTACATTAAGAGTAATTTCCTTCCATCATATTTCTTAAAATTATTTCTGGTGTTCGATTAAGATAAGGTCAACTCGTTCTTGAACTAGTGATGAACACTGTAAAATTTCAGTGTTTTCCTTCAATACACTGATCTGATCTGAAGTATTTTCTAGTAAGCAGCATTTGCACCTCAAGTCAATTCAGTGAACAAAATAAACAACTTCAAATCTGTATTAAACAGCCCTCTCAAATTTCGATGTTAACATTTAATGAGTAAGGTAATCTACTCTAAATGCACAAAATGTTGGGTTTTTTCGATTCTAGGGGGTATTCCTAAAATAGTCTGCTTACTACAAAAGAGGATTCGAGTGTGGCCACCCAAAACCTGTAGATTGCGCATGTATTATCAGGGGAGCTGAGATGCTGACTTTCCTTTAGGACCCCCTCTGACTGTCTGAGTTGATTTAATATGTACCCGTAAATTATCTTTGTGATGCATCTTCAAAACGCCTTCCTTGGCTTTTACAGAAGAGATTGGGAACAAGAACCACCTGTGAGTACGAGTTCATTCAATGTGGACTGCGTCTGTATAAAACTGTTCTGCAATTGAACGATTTCTGAAAATTGGCCCACACTTTCCCATGTCCTTACAGGTTCTGAGCCCTTGAAATACGGTTCCCCGAAGGCAGCCATATAATTCTAACAATTTATTTTCGTGAAGACATCAAAGAACTCAAAGAACTCAGGGTCTTTCAAAGCCTCCAAGACTGAGATTACGTCGGTCCGAAATATTCTAGTTTTCGAAATACTAAAAATAGTCGACTCCTGGTAGTCGCTGAGGTTGGAGAATACAGCTACCCGCAAATAACGGCAATTGAAGAGTACCTGAGACCCCCTCTAAAAACTTTCATAGCTGCTTATTTTAATGGTTAACACCAAAGAATACCTTCAACCACCATCCTAAAGCACTTTTTAAAACTTGTAATGCGATCATCTTGCAACACAACTCTTAAAAGTAGACTTGTGTAGATGGGCGCTCACCAATCGGTTGCGGAAATCGCTCTTCCGTTGTGTCTTGGAACTCTTTCTCGAGCTCCGTCAGCAGCAGTTCAGTGGCGCAGTCGGTAGAGCGTTGGACTTCTAACTAACAGGTCGCGGGTTCGAACCTCAGGTGCCGCAACACCTGGGGTGGTGTATGGCTGACTGATGATGGCTAATAAGCCAGAAATGGCCCCGCCAGTGTCT